ATCCACCAGAATCTTCAGTTAAAATGGCAGATGGAAGATGGAGGCTGCTGGAGGCTGCAATCTCACAGCTAAACACGTTAAACAATGAATGTGCCAAAAAGAATGCATGCCCTACTAATAGGCCAGAAAAGCTGCATGGTAGCTCTTGAATGGGAAGGATGGATCGTTCTAAATAAAAACACTTGCAATCAAAGTCTTTTTCTTTTCTTTTCTTTTTTGCAATCTAAACCATGCCATCAGTGATCCATATATCATATCTATTTGCCAGTGTGCACATGCCCCGTGTCTTAAGCATGATGGAACCAACTTATTTCTTTTTTTGAACTAGAGAAACTGAATACACGGTGTCGTGCAGTGGACATAATATCAATACAAGACTCAGTTGATTTGAGTTAAGTTCTGAATTCAGCCATGGAAAATCACAGCAGGGGTGGGGCAGGCGAAACTGGTAGAACTCCATAAATGTCACACTTACTTTGAAAGCCCTTTAAGTTGTTTCCAGCTTGATGGAACATAACACAGACAAAACCTAGATTTAGTGCCCTATTTAAAATATAGTTCTAGAGTGTTCTTTGTTGTTGCTGTTTTAACAACAAATATGTTGCATATAAGACAATTCTATGTGTAGCAACTTGCCATGATATTCTCTGCTTTTCTGCTCAGAAGCAAATGCCAGGCTGGAGAAGATGGGAGTTATAACTCAATATGCCTAGCAGGCACTGGGTTGCAGAAGGCTCATCTAGATTGGTTGTTGTGGGTTTTTCGGGCTTCTTGGCCATGTTCTGAAGGTGGTTTTTCCTAACGTTTCGCCAGTCTCTGTGGCCGGCATCTTCAGAGGACAGCAAACTGTGCTCATCTAGATTATCCTTCACAATATAATGTTCATTCAATCACATGCTACAATATTGTTAGTTCTTTTTTTTTTCACATAATAAGGTATGTCCCTCTAATACAGAACTGTTCTATCAGCACAATAACAAAAGTAAGCTCGTTCCCTCTTTCATCAGTGCCTTTCTAGCCTGTGAAACTACTTACTGGAATTTTTCTTCTAATAGCAGCAGCTCCCTGGTGATAAACAATATTCAAAAGGCAAACCTATAAAGACTTTTGAGCAATGCGACAATCCCCTTTTGGGTTTATCACACGAGACAATGCTGTTTCATCTCCTGATGCATCCAAGTTTTAAAGAAATGCTTATTCAAAAGGGAGCTTGTAAGTGTGCGGCAAAGAGCGATTCTATCATAATCCATGGTGCTTTGCACCTGGCACAGCCTCCCAGGGCAGCACGCTAAATAATGCATGCATGCATTTTTTCAAAGGAGATTAAAACACAGTTTTAAAAATTAATCCAGGGAATTTATATCTTGGGGTGGTGGTCGGAAGAATGAATGCTGGTGGAGCAAACAGAGAATGCAGCCGTGACAGTCTTGTTGCCTGAGCTGATTTCAGACATTCAAAACAGTGAGCTGCTGGCCCAAGCTTTCTTTCAAAGACATAAGGGTGTATGCCTCTTCTTAAGAATTACAAACCCCAAAGCTTCTTAATTTCTGTGAGCCTTTCCTAAACACATAGAGAAGGGGTCACTGATACTGCCTGCAGGAATGGACTAGCAGCAAACACCACAATAATCAGGGGCATGAACATCCTATGCACAAGGGGAGCCTATGGTTAGAGATGGGGATGCAATGACAGTTTGCCGGTTTGTGCTGGTTCATGTTTTGGCTGAACAGGTGTTCGGCGCTTCCCAGCCTGTCTTCCTCCGGCAGGCATCCACTCAGAGGCAGTGCCTAGAAGAGGCACGGCAGGGAAATCAGGGCTCTGCCTCTGAGTAGGCACCCACCAGAAGGAGGAGGCCTGAGAAGAGCCAAACATCTCTTTGGTCAGAAATTGGCACAAACTGCTTGAATCAGTTACTATGGTAATTAGAGCCATCAATTATTAAGAGAACTCCCATCAAACCACCAATCTGGGTTCAAGTTTCCTATTACTGTTGCGTACTAGCTCTTTAAGAGACTCGCCAGAGGCCTCAGTGGAGGAACAGAAGAGAATCTTTTCATTTTGGGGCAGAAGCCAAACAGAAGATGTTTGTGGTATCCATTTCTTGCTCAGAGTCCAGGCCAGGTCAGTCTTGGACCTACCTGTCTGTACAGGGGCAGGGGCATAGCCTGTACAGGCAATAGCTCCATTGTTTACATTCCATTTAAAAGCCACAGCTGGCTGCTCTGTGTTCTAGGAGGTTATAACACATAAATGTTGAGTTTGAAGACATCTAGTGTGTACTGCATTTTCTCATATTCAAAAAGGACAAGAAGTATAACAGACAAATATAAGAGTTACACAGGTATGTTGTTGTCAGACAGTTATTTCTGTGGTCTCACTCAAGAAGAGCGATCTAAATTAGAGCTACAGTGGTGCCTCGCTAGACAGTTCCCCCACATGACATTTTTTTCGCTAGACATTGACTTTTTGTGATCGCTATAGCGATTAGCAAAACAGTGATTCCTATGGGGGAATTTCGCTGGACAATGTTTGGTCCCTGCTTTGCAAACCGATTTTCGCTAGACAACGATTTTGACAGCTCCCTCTGTGCTTGCAAAATGGATGTTTTCGGGACCTAAGCTTCACAAGACAGCTATTTAACCAGCTGATCGGTGGTTCGCAAGCCGGCTTTCCTATGGCTCATCTTTGCTAGACAACGACGATTCTTCCCCATTGGAACGCATTAAACAGGTTTCAATGCATTCCAATAGGGAAATGCTTTTCGCTAGACAATGATTTTGCTATACAGCGATTTCAGTAGAACAGATTATCATCGTCTAGCGAGGCACCACTGTATGTCTTATTGGTCTAAAACACTAGATACCATGTGTGTGACAGAAAACAGACACTGATTAGCTGTTGAAAAGAATTGGCCAAGTGGTTGGGGTGTATATGGGGGGAGGAAAAAAATTCTATTCCTCTGTTCTCATTCACATTACCTCATCTGGACTTCTTAGGTTTTCAACCCCTTGCTGCCCAGGAAGACATCCAGATTCCTGTGCATTCAGAGGGCGTTTACTCTGGTCATGATAACTACTCTTTTAGTGTCAGGGCTCGAATACAGAAGAGCTGATTGACTTCTCCCATTAATGTGGCTGCTCCCAGGCATCCATTCTCTCCTGCCACTTGGCTGGCAGTGGAGATTGTTAAAATGGAAAAGGCTCTAGTCTAAGCTGAAGATATGGAAGGAAGGCCAGAGGCTGCTCCATTGTTCCATTTCTGAAGCTTTAGCATCTTCAGAAATAAGTTTACTATGCACATTGCAGACAAATTATTCATTTTGGCAGTGCCAAAATATTTTCTTATTTTTATGTAGGTCTGATGCAAGTGTGTTATTATCTCTCCCACACAACTGGGCCCTGTTTATTTTGAAAAACTGGATAATTGCATAGTGTCTTTTAGATTTATTTGCATTTATGTAAACTCCTTATATTTCTGCCCTCTATTTTTATTTATAGCAGACATGGCTATGTAGCATGTATGTATATTCATCATACACACAGGCCAGACAGGCCCACATTTTACTGCCTGAGGCAAGAGACAAGATAGTGCCTCTTCCTATGTCCATATACAGAACCTGCATGATCTGACATTTGGGTAATGCGATAATAAATGGGAGCTTTAAAGTACTTGTAGGGTCTGCACAGGTCTGATGATTGATTTCTCTCTCTTATGTATTGTTGTAGTTGCCCACTTTTGGAGTAGATGATTGCCTGTTGCCTTATCTCTGCTTTTCTTTTTTGAAGAGTTTTGAGAGTTCTGTTGGGCTTAATTTTCTCTAGCACCAGTAACTCAGATGAAAAAACTATATAACCAAAGAACCTGAAAGATTCAGGCCCCTTTCAAATTTACCAAAAGAGACCAGTCTTTAAAGAACGCAAAAACAAAAGAGGAGCCTCTTGAAAGAGCCCCACATGAAAGCAATATGAACGTTTTCTCCCTGCACATCCCCAGAAGACAAAAGGCACATTGGCTCTCTATATTTGGGAACATATCTGCATAAATATATGACTTTGGTGCCACCATAAGTGACATGGCAGCTTCCTAAGGAATCCTGGAATTTGTAGTTTGGTAAGGTAATTGGAATTCCTTGCTAAAGAACCCAAGTGCATTCCTCTGAACTGCAGTTGAAAATTCTAATTCTCTTGCTGAACTATGAATCTCCAGATTCCAAAGGGTAGAGTCATGAGAGCTAAACTCTTATAGGTAGTCAAGATACACAAATGACTTGAGAGCCACTGTTTTGAATTTAATAGCATGGAGTACAAACCACAGTAATAATGCCTTGTTTTCTTTTGATCAGTTTTGTATCTTGTGGCAGTGGCAGGAAGATGCTTCTAGTCATGCCAATGATCCTATGCAAGTTGGCATGGATCTTTCCTAAGGAGATGTTGTTCCTTTCTCCTGCTCCAATCTCAGAAGCAGCTCCCATTTAAGTACAGTAACTGATGATCTTCCTCATTGCTGAAAATACCTTGAGTAAAACTGTGGTCAAGCTCAGGAGCTGGCTATTGTCACATCACCAATGTGATTAGCCGTTATATGTGGGTATTCTAAAAACATACCAGGGAACAAGATTATCCTTAAGAAGACAGCACATAAGGAGGGGCAGATTGAAATCTTCCCTTCCCAGCTGCAATATTTTTGAAAATCCTAATTGACGTTAGGAAAAAGTTGGAGCCAAGTGGAACTGCAGGGTTGGGAATGGAAGTTGAAGGCATAGCAACTCCAGATCTAAATAAAGAAATGAGTGGGTACCAAAGGATTAAAGGTCTCCATACCTTGCTCCTCACATACGTCTGTTCCAAGCTTAATCAGCTCCCTACACTAATAGTTTGCAGAAAGCTATACTGCACTGGAGGGCAGAAATTTGGAATTAAAGTAATATGTAGGGAAAAGGTAAAGTTTGCCCTTGACATTTAGTCCAGTCGTGTCCGACTAGGGCATGGTGCTCATCTCCAGTTCTAAACCATAGAGCGAGTGTTCTGTCCGAAGACAGTTTCTGTGGTCACATGGTCAGCACAACTAGACATGGAACACCATTACTTTCTCACCGAGGTGGTACCTATTTATCTACTCGCATTTATATGCCTTCGAACTGATAGGTTGGCAGGAGCTGGAAGAAGTGACAGGAG